TCGCCTGCCCTCCCCCCACCCGCCCTCCTGCACGCCCTCTCGCCCTCGACGCCTCTGATAAGCGCCTTATATCGCGTCGGACCGTCTGTAAAACACCGTGGCCACACCGACGACGACGACACCACCAGCAGCTCGCCTCGACTCCGCCACACGCACGATACTCCAACACGCGTCGTCACCTTTCCCGTCCCCCTTTCTCCTTTCCCTTCCCTTTGTCTTTATTTTTCGGCGGCGGTGAACGCGTAGCCAGCACGGGCCAACGGTGACTGTCTGACTGCCTCTCGGGACGAGTACCACACCGCGGTTCTCGGTTCCGTGCTCCCCCGTTCACTGACGCCTTCCTTCCGCTAGCCGGTCGACCACCGCGACTGCAGCTGCGCGATGCCACCCGTTGACCCCTTCCTTTTTCCTCCCTTCGTACCGCGTCGATCGAGATCAGGGCTGCTCCGTCCTCTCTCCTTCCCTCCCTCCCTGTCACTCTCTCTCTCGCACTCTCTCTCTCTCTCTCGTCGTCGTCCAACCTCTAGCCACCAGGGGGTGAAGGATTATTGGTTTGTTACCTTTCCAACCGGCTACCTTGAAACCAACTCGGAATCAGAATTACTTATATGTATGCGATCGTGCGCGCTGATATTTCGGTTAGTCTGCTCCCAGTTCTCTCTTTCTCTTTCTCTGTCACTGTCTACAGGAACCAGGATCTAGAAGGATCTCGGTGATACCCTTCAGGCGTAGGGAACGTGTATACACGTTTTTTGCGATCGTTCTCATTCGAGAATGGCTTTTAGGAAGACTCGTACGGAGTCGACGTTGATGCTGATGTTGTACTGTACTACATGACTCTGTGGAATGGGTAATGGAGGATCGTGTGTCGCATTGGGAGAAGTCGTTTCGCTTCGTTCGACGTTGGCTGGTAGGATATTGGTATGGCTAATCGAGCACAGTTTCCTTCTTTTTCCTCTTTTTCTCTTTTTTTCTTTCTTTCGTACAATGTTTTCATACACTCTATAATAACAAAGAATGAACACTCGCCACGGGTGATATTTCGTTCGTCACGCGATAGTATTTTTCTTCCACTTCGCTCTAATTTATCCCGATGTCGTTTAAACTCAACGTGAGCAGTGCGTCGTGGCTTTCCTCCTCCGAAATTAGGCACTCGTTCGCTTCGTGTGTGATAGCCTTCGGGTACAGTGCAGTCTGCATGGTGGCTGAAGAGGAGAATAAACACGTTTATTACTATATATAGTTTTTATTAACTGCTTAATTTTAGGAAATTCGGCTACTATGTTACTTGCGACTATTCGATTAGACACACTATGTGGAAAATTATCTTGTTTGTTGCGAGCAAACAAACAGCAATTGCCACGATAATGAGAAAACGGAAATGCGAGCGTCACGACATTTATCTCGTCTCGAGTATCCGGCCTTTCTTTTTTTTTTTTAGAATTTTCTTCCAGCGCATCTTATCTTATTTTCCCATGAGTATCGCGTCACTTCTACTCGCAATTCACCTGCGTGCATTTTCCCCCTTCGATGTCTGCGGATCACAAAGTACAACGCCGTTGTCGTAGCCGCCATTATTAAGATCGTAACTGCTGCAAACGTTCCAGCCATCCTGGACACTGCACTGTCGGTGCTACTATGATATGGAGACGGATAGCACGGCGATTCTTGAAATAGGACATAGAACTATGTAATAAGATAACTTTTGATTGTCCTCTCGATTGTTTTCTTCTCATCCGTCTAAACGGAACGAGTAAGCAACAAACATAATTAATTCATCTTCTTGATGTTGCTGTTATAATTGTGAAACGTGTTATTTTCTTTCTTATTTCCAGCGTGTGTGTTTTACAATGTGACGATAAACGAAATAGAATTTGTTAGAATTTTTTAGTAAAAACAATTGTATATGAAATTCTGGATAAAGTAAAATTCGTTGGAATCTTGCAACAAGCATGAATGAATAGCTGCAGGGAAGTGTATTTATGTAAAGATATTATGTAGGTAAAATAGAATTTTTTAGTAAACGCAGCAAACAGTTGCGCGACAATTGTATATTTCGTGTAAAGGGTATTATTTACTCGTTGCGAGGATTTAGATAAAATAGAATTTGTTAGAATTTTTTAGTAAACGTAACAAACAATTGTATTTGAAATTCTGGATAAAATTCGTTGGAATCTTGCAACAAGCATGAATGAATAGCTGCGGTGAAATGTATTTATGCAAAAGATATTATGTAGGTAAAATAGAATTTGTTAGAATTTTTTAGTAAATGCAGCAAACAGTTGCGCGACAATTGTATTTCGTGTAAAGAGTTATTATTTACTCGTTGCGAGGATTTAGATAAAAATAGAATTTGTTAGAATTTTTTAGTAAACGTAACAAACAATTGTATTTGAAATTCTGGATAAAATTCGTTGGAATCTTGCAACAAGCATGAATGAATAGCTGCGGTGATGTGTATTTATGTAAAAGATATTATGTAGGTAAAATAGAATTTGTTAGAATTTTTCAGTAAACGCAGCAAACAGTTGCGCGACAATTGTATATTTCGTGTAAAGGGTATTATTTACTCGTTGCGAGGATTTAGATAAAATAGAATTTGTTAGAATTTTTCAGTAAACGCAACGAACAGTATATTCATGTAAAAGATGAACAGCTTCACTAAAGAGGAATAGTTACATTCTAGTAACAGCGAACATGTGAAGATAATACCTCTTTCGACGAAGCAACCAAGCGTCGACAGACTATCGTTGAAGGTTATAACGAAGCAGAGACTTTTATTGCTCGCTGTCTCGTTGCATTGGTAACAGTCCGGTGCGTAACGTTTGGCATTCATCAACGTGCTATTCGTCTCATTGTGGACCGCAAGTCTACGAACACTTCCCTATGAAAAGCTCGTCGAATCTATGCCGTACTACGATCCGATAAATCTGACAATTACCATTCTACTCACCCATCGAGATTCGTATTGTTCAAGTCCTTTCTTAAAATGCACACAGTGGGTTGGTCACAGTCCCGTCCTGCCCATCCGTACGAGCATTCACACGTGTCTTCCACGCACGTTGCATGACCTTTGCAAACGCGTGTGCACGGTTTAACGCAGGTGTGGTTCGCGTTCGTTTCGAAGCCAGCGTTGCATCGACACTCGTTCGGCGCGATGCACTCGCCGTTCTCGCATCCGTTCTCGCAGAATGGCACGCAGCGACTTTCGGATCGCCTGACAAAACCTTGCAGGCATTGACACACGCCCGGTTCGACGCACACACCGTTTTCACAAGAGGGACAGATTGGCGTGCATCGACCGTCCACGGTTTGCCTGTGGTTGCCGATGCAAGAGCAAAAATTCGGCGCTGTGCATTTACCGTGTTTGCAACTTGGTTCGCAGACCGGTTCACAAGCTGACGTGTACTCATCCGTGATGTTGTCCGATGCCTATTTGGAGAAGAGGAAAATCGTATATTAGATTGAAACGGTGAAAAATTTTCGCGCTCACTTTCAAGATAAAAACAATCCGAGGCGCCTGTATATAGGCAACCGAGCTTTACACCAGCGTACGCAGCCTTGCCAGTAGGCAGGGGCAAGAATTCGGATTCTGGTTGAAAAATGGTCACGATTTTACTCACTTCGTGCTGCTTCACGGTCGTATCGATCATTCGATATCCATCGAAGCAGCTGCAAGTGTCAGGTGCCGAGCATACTCCGTGAGGCTCGCAAGGAATTTTGCAACTCGGCACGCACGTTTGCTCCTCTTCCTTGAACCAGTAATCCTCCGTGCAGTTGCACACCCCTGGCGCGATGCACGTTCCATTTCCGCAAGGTTTCTCACAAATTGGCTCGCATTCGCGTCGCATCGTCGCGTCCTCATCCTCGTTGAGTTTGTAGCCGTCGTGGCAAGAGCAGACGTTAGGCGCCGTGCAGTTTCCGTTCACGCAAGCGTCCTCGCAAGCAGGCTCGCAAACGTACTTGGAATCTGCCAGTAACTGGTAACCTGGGTCGCAGTTGCACACTTCCGGCGCGACGCAACTGCCATTCGCGCAGGACTCGCTGCAAATCGGTTGGCAATCGTTGGTGTTGTTATCCTGTCGGTATCCTGGATCGCAGGTGCAAGTGTTCGGAGCCGTGCAGTTGCCATTCGAGCAAATTCTCTCGCATTTGGGCGCGCAAAAGTCCGGATCCTGATCGGATCCTGACTGGTAGCCTGGCTGGCAAGCGCAAGTGTCCGGCCCGACGCAACGCGCGTTACGTTGCTCGCAGTTTTGCTGGCATATTGGCAGACAGTGTAATCTGTCAGTGGACAGTTCGTAGCCTCTGTCGCATTCACAGTGATCGGGAGACACGCAAACGCCATTCGTGCAGTTGCCCTCGCACACTGGCTCGCAGACGTATTTCTCCTGATTCGCTGTGTACGTGAATCCTTGCTTGCACTCGCACGTGTTTGGCCTCACGCACTTTGCGTTCACGCAAGAGATCAAGCATACAGGCACGCAGGCTGTGTCCTGCACTGTCCAACCGTAGCAGCACGTTTTCTCGGTCACCCAGTTGTGCTGGAAATTAGTAGAGACGAGATATTTGCAATGAATTGCGGATATTTCGAGGATATTGAAAAAAAAAAAAAGAAAAATCTACAGAGTTCGTCGAGTGATCGTTTTTATAATTTATTAAAATTCGTTAGTGATGAACGTCGCACGTCGGGCTTGGAAAATTAATTTCATACGCCTTACGATACTTTTTGTTACCTCTACTTATAAGTCTACTTCTTACTTGGATCTTGTAGTTTGTTCGAGATTTTGTTTTAATGAAAATGCCCCAAGCTCGAGCCCGGTACGTTTCCGTGTATGGGACATATTGTTCTGTCAGTCGTCTGAAACGATGAGGCTCGTTCATCGCAAGTCTGCACACAAAAGAACTTGACACTTTCTGTTTGTTACCTGGTAGTCATGGTGCATCCCGACTCGATGTCGAATGTCGACATCATCGTCAACGTTTGTACAACCGTTACGAGGATTGAGTTTATAAGAACTATGCTGCCAACGTGTCTCATATTTTTCGCTCTTTTGCTCGCACGAGCGATTCGCTGTTGCAAAACTCGAACTGACGAGCTCGACGGATCGACAAGTACGTATATATGTATACGAACATCTCGCGTTATCAACACGAGACAGGATGCTCGACATCGCAGATAATTTTTCATCATTGTTCATCTTGGAGATGTATTGTGCAGATCCATTATCGGGAATTTCTTTCTGGTTTCTCATCCCTTTGTGTGAAAATAATAACACTTAGGGAAAGATTTTCAAAAAAAAAAAAAAAATTTCACACTCCGTAAGTACAATTTGCATAATTACTTTATTGATCGTAACGGTAACATCAGGTTGTTGCGTATGAAAAAATATCGTTTGCTGTGATGTTCGAAGATGAGCTTCACCGTAGATCGTGTGTAACATTTATAATACTAACGTAAATACTAAAATTTTCTTATTAGC